GCGGTGGCAAATACACCGCTGAACTGTACTTTAAGCCTGCCGTGTTGCAGTAGTTTCTTACTCGCTCAGTACTCTCTTTTTCGCTCATATCCATTGCGGGTGCCCAGAGGAGCTCATATGGACGTGACGTGACGAGCATTGGGAGACGTTAAGCTTTCAACGGAAGACTCTTCTGCTGTCCCGGAGCTCTACGATCGGATGGTAATGCCCAGTCTCAGGCAACAAAGACCGCTTGGCGTTGACGCTGATTCCATAAATACCTCCAATCAAAAGGGTAAAGACTTACTATTGCTCACAAATATAAAAAGCGTAGGTCGTTTGACACATCTAATTGCCTGTGTTGCTATAAATGACAAATGTAGTGAGCCTGGCTGTGGTATTCATACAGTACACGCACATCTGTGCCTTTTACCTTTGTGAAATACTTACGGTAGCTAAGAAGACATCTGTTTTTTTATCATGTACTCGGTTTTTAGCATGGTAGCGAGAACATGCATGCCTGGATACGTTCCAGTTGGTGCAAGCCAGCTTGTTGAAGACAAATGTGCATACGGATTCAGTGGTCCGAATTGAGATCAAATGCTTGACGCCCATGGGATGTCACAACTCGTAATTCAGCTATCATGCCATTGCCCATGCATTGATCTTCATGTGTCGCGGTCCGTTACCGCATGACATCTCGGTACGCCTTATGCAGGTACCAACGCACGCAGCGGCGCAGTAAGACGGGGGAGGAGGAAGGCTGACGAACTGACCCCCCCCCCCTCCCTCCCACCGAACCCGCACGACCCGTAAAAGTTACGAAACAGCACAGACGAGCGTATTCGGGTCTATATGTCACAGCACATTCAGCTTTCTGGCGGTGCAGTTTACTCTATGACAAAAAATGTCAGCACAGTCATGTGATGCAACCCAACCCAGAGTGGGGCAAATTGCGTCATTCAAAAGGAGATCATTCAAAAGTCATTTACCAAAAAACAAAGACGTGCTCTCCAAAAACTTTACCGCTACAGATGACGCTGAAAGTTATAGCTGTCTACAGCTATAATAATTTTAGCCCTTTCCCAACTAGTTATAGCAGGAGGGAGCTCAGAGTAAAAACTGATACAAGTCTCTCCACTCTCCCTACAACTCTCCCTATCAACAGCGAAAGCGGCGAACGAATATCGGCGGCGAATGCGGCGCACGGATGGCGTGCTGGCATGGGCGCCGCTCTGCAAACAAAAGCTGTGGCCGGCGCAGTTATAATGGCCAGTAATCATCCAACGTCGATGGAGATGCCAAACGGTCGGCCGAGATGCCAACTGGTTATTGGACGTGCTGGGGTGCGAATTTATGGCGCCGATAAACGCCGTCGATAGCTATTGAGATGCTGCAACGACCTGCCACGAGGGCCCTTGAATCCCGCCCGAAAAAATACAACAACCCATTGGCTGATGGGCAACGATGGAGACGGTCGTAAAACTGGCCGGATCGCTCCGAGCTAACTTGGCAGAACGACGATGTTCTGGTTCTCAGGAAGATCCGCTGGAATCGACATAAATGACGGCCTGTGCAGTCAAGGATTGTTGTGCTACAGAGCGCGTGAGTTATCATGACTGGCCTGCGGTCGCAGAGCAAACGCGCTAAGCTTAGACAATCGGAAATGGCAGCAAAACTCTGCGAAGTACAACGCATATACAAAAAGCAGGGCGCCACGTCTCGAAAAATATAATTCTTGTTTGGAAATGGCACCATATGATTTTGTTCTTTCGCCTTGTGGCTACAAAAGCCGTGATTTGTGTGCTTCTTAAACAGCCAGCAGCGGTATTTGGTGACGCCTATAAAGCCGAGCAAAATGTGCACCTGTTAATGGAATAAAATGTGCCAGAGATTCCAGCCCCGATGCACCGCAAACGGCGTTTCACGTCAAAATTGAGATCTGGTAAGCTGTGACTGATGCTTACTTCCCCTGCTCCGGTAATATATATTTAGATTTTACGTTCCACCACCCTGAGCGCAGTTTGTTAGCTAGTTCGTACTTTGTAACCGAAGATAGATCAGAAGAGTTGGGCTTCATCGGTGATGCCAGTTCTTGCAAATCCTTCTGAATAACTCAGTGTAGATTTCCATTAGCCGCTACGAGGGGAGAAATATCGATGTCCTCCCCGCCTGCCACCATGAAAGCAATACCTTTCGGCATTTGCTTCGCTTTTTCCACGTGTGTGTGTTCTGCGATGTTTTAATACACTTCTTGGCCAAAATGCTAGAGCAATGAGCGCTGTGAAAGCTTGGAACACTCTATTTAGGGAAAAGGGCATACAAGTATGATGTCATTAGCAAACGAATTCAACGAAATATAATCCCATGGCTTTAATTTATTTCTGCGGCGTTTAGCACACTGACTCTTTGGAAACACGTTTCAGCAATTTGTGTACTTGAATACCGAGACAGTTGCAAGGCTGTGTTTACAAGACAGGCATATGTCAGCAGCATACCGCATGATCTTGACACACTAGTTCTAACTTCCAACACTCTACTTCTCGCTAAACGGCTAACGCCGCCCGCTATGTCAGTCACAAACGTTCATTACTACTGAGGTATTTCTTCCTAGAAGTGCCACTTTTAAGCCCGCAGGTGCTTAAGGCGCGGGTCAATGGGTAAGTTAATATCTGATAAGTGGCACCTTAACTTTCACACTCAGATAAGTTGCATCTTTAATAGCTTTTACAGTGCTCATTGCTCTAACATTTTGGCCAAGAAGTGTATTAAAACATTACAAAAGACACACGCTGGAAAAAGCGAAGCAAATGGTGAAAGGTATTCCTTTCATGTACTTAGTCCGTAACATTCGTGGACGGCCCGCAGCGCAGTCCGTCAGCGCTAGCTGTTACGGACTGTAGGCACCACTTTTGAGCTCATTTTTCCGACTTTCGCAGGCCTACGAACTTTTCGTTCCAAAGTTCAAGTTCCCGCGACATTGGAAACGAGCAAAAATCGAGAAAATGAGCGTGCAAGAAAGGTTTGCCACTCCAGCAGAGCACAGATGGAGATAGTTCGCTGCCAATTTTGACCTTCGTTTTTTTCATGCATCGCCATATGGGCAATCTTAAACACGCTTTAAAAAGTGGGAAGCGACGATTACGCTCCCCTCCCCTGTTCTCACGCCCGTGGTCTGAAGTCTGTAGCATTGCAGCCCTGCAGCCTACAATGCAGTAGTTTAGTGTGTGTTATGAGGTTTCCTCTGCAGCTTCTGGCTTTGTCTGCAGTCCTGTGATTTTGTCTGTAGCTCCGCGGTTTAGTGTGCAGTTTCCTGGTTTTGTCTACAGTCCTGTGATTTAGTCTGTGGTCCTGTGGTTTAGTCTGCAGTCCTGTGGTTTAGTCCACAGTCGTATGACGTCTTGTCTGCAGTTACGGGGCTTGTTCTGTAAACAGCAGTCTGTAGTGCGTGCTGGGAACCTGGTCGCGCCGCCGCCGTGAGAACAGGCCGGGGTACCGACGGCCCCCATGGAGGCGCGTCGACACGGCGTGCTGGGGGTGCTGGGCTCGAGCCGGGGTGGGTTCAGGACAGCAGCCGGGGTAAAGACGGCGCCTGACAGCCCGACGGGTCTGATGGCGCGCGTATAGCGGCAGCGCAATGTAGACTTCCGAGAGCGGTGATGGAAGGGGTGTAGAGACCCGGGAACGGTGGCATAGGCCAATCAGGCTCAGGCACGGACATAGGTTCCAGGACACGGGAAGAGAAGGAACGTTCTTGTCCGAGAAGGGCGATGAAAATGGCCTATGGGCTCCTGCCGACGGTGAGGAGAGGGGTTTCACAGGCTGCCGAGGAATGGTAGCAAAAAGGACCGAAGTTCTCCCGCGGCGATGAGGGGAAGGGCTTCACATGTTCCCGGGAACGATGACAGAGAGCTTGTAGCTCCGATGGCGGTGACAAAAGGGCCTGCATGCTGCTGAGAGCGGCGGCAGAAGCAGCACCCCGGCATGAGAATGATGATAGAAGTGGTCAGCAGTCTGGGCACGGCCACAGGACGGGATTGACGGCACAGTACGATACCGGCAAGGGCACAACTAGACTATATTGCAACAATCGGATCAAACTTTCGTAGTTGCTCGATAAAATATACCAAATTATATGCCATGGATGGAGGAAGAAAGGCTTGATATGGCGTAACGAAACGCGCTGTCCCGCTTCCGCACACATGGATATAGTGCAAACTTTACGCCTTCATGTTACTTGATGAAAAACCTTCACAACAAGTATCTCAAGCGTAAAACGTTTGTCACGAGCGATGTGCCATGACGCATAATCACTTTTGGTATTTTCTGGTCACCACCATGTAGTATCACACGTAGAGTATATGTTTGAATAGACTGCGAAATCGGGGCCAACGGAACTGTTCCCGCCAGTTGTGTGTCACAAGAGACGCTAGCCTATGGCTTAATGCTGTGCCTGGAAGCATGGTAATGCCAATCTATTTTCAGTCTCCGTTATGTGTGCCTGTTATGTGTGCCGGTGTGTGTGCCCTGACAACCTCTGTCATGTCCGTCAGTAACAAGGTGGATGGAAGTATGGTTTTAGGTGCTGTTTCGTCATAAGTCCGGCAGAAGGGCGGTACTCAGACCAGCACGAGTGCCGTGGAGCGCGGTCTAGTGTTCATCGCAGTGCCTATGGGCTAGGAGCCTCCGTTCCATTTGTTATAGCGAGAATGCATATAGATGAAGCAGAGCGCCTGGATGGGTGGCAAAAAAAAACGAAACCCGTTTTGGGAGAAATATAAATTAAAGAAGGAACTTACGCATCTAGATCGAGGCAGGCGCTGGGAGCGGTCTTGCGTAATGTGTAACCACGCAACCCAACGTTAGCACCGTCAGCCTCTCGGCCCCTCCCGAACTTTGCGCGACAGCTGAGCCTAAATGCACAGACTAAGCAGCAACTGTAATGCCCGCGCCGTAGCTACCTATTGTGCGGCAAGGCCATTAAAAACCGGCACGCCAGTCTGTTCGCATCTACGCCGTACCTCAGTTCGCCTTCCGCGCAGTCACCGTCGTCCCAGGCACGTAGTCTCTCCGGCAGGGCCGCGGCCACCTGGCCAGAGGTCACTCACAAGCTTGCTGGGCACGCCTGCGACGATCCGGCAGATCACGCGAGCGCGAACATCCGCCCTCCGCCGTCTCTTCGCCACTGGCCACAGTGACTGACCGGACTCGCCTCGCTCCTCGGCCGGCGGGACGAGCCCCCGGCAGCTCGAGCTGTAATTGGTCGCCGCCCCCGTCGCCCCGCCCACCGGCCGACGGCTCTCGTGGCTGCCTCCGACTCTGCGCTGCTGCAACCCGGGCATGTAACCGAAATGCGTTTACCTGCAGATATTTTTCCCCGATGTATACTACTAACTGCTTTACAGGCGACTCACTCCTGTCGCGGTGTCAATGAGGCGAAACGCTAAAGTTTGAACATGCCGCAACATGCCGACACATCAAATTGAAAAAGTTTAACAGTTGAAATACACATTCAATGAGTGTCAATCTGGCCAAATACTCTTTATTCAAACGGCAATCAGTCGAAACGTTCTTTAGCAGGGTGCAAAGTGCCCAAGGGTTTTTTGGTGGAATATCAAGTTACCAAATTACCCTTTAGTCAAATACCACTTTGGCGGAACATTTTTTTCGTAGAATGTGAACCACGAAGATGTGCTGTGGTCGAATACTGATTAACAGAAACGCTCCTCAGTCGAATGTTAATTAGCCGATGCTCTTAAGTGGAATGCTTTTGCGTCGAAATGTTTTGACTGGATATAGACATAACCCCCCTAGGCTTCGCCCTATAGTCCTTTTTCACCGCCGTCATGCGATGGAAGGCATTGGTAACTCTACATAAGATCTCAAAAACCAAGCAAGCTAGGCACGGGAAAGACGAACTTTGAAAGCTCTGGTTGAACCACATCAGAAAGGTGTGACAACACAATGGCAAATGTAACTTAGACACGCTAAATCATGATCAGTTGAAACTTCTTATATTCAGTCAACGGCCTTTAATATACCAGGAGGCATTTTTAAACGACGTGATGCTAACCGACGATTTTACTGACGGCACTAAATATAATCGTTATTTAACATCGCAACGTTGTTTAACGAGTACTCCGAAGGTCGCTATCCCATCATGCAAACCTTCAATCATAATTCCGAAAAAAAATGGGAGCTGATCACATCAAGTACAGGTCAGATCAGATCCCCCCCTGTCACTGTAAGAACTAAGCATGGCACAATGCAGAAAACGGTGATGAATAACTCTTAAAAATATCTTTCAAATCGGCTCTATCAGTCTAGTCAAATCTAGTCAAATCCAGAGTCAAATCGACAGATTTGACTGTCATGCGTCATGCCAGGTCACAGGGATGAAAGCTTTTGTTCCATCGGCCCATCCAGCTTGATCAAGAACATAACATGCGAAACGAGACTGAGTATATCTATGCCCTTACACTATTGGTTACATGCTCACCGACATGATTCCTCTTAATGTGGGACATAATTCATGGAAGAACCTTTGCGGTCTGTTGGCGGTATCACTTCGAATAATTTGCAATCGTCTAATTCGCATTTGAGCAAGATCGGTTCGTACAATTGACCATTTAGCCAGTTTACACTCATCTTGTTGCCATTTCTTATATCTCTTGTGACATTTGGTGGTCCAAAAATTGGGATTCCACATTTGGTAAAATAGCAGTCGTTTAAACGCCATTCAGCAATTTGTCCTGCAGCCGTGCTTTTTTTACGCATGGATGCGATGGAAACGGAGAATGAATTGATAACAAATGTAATCGTTACGGCCGAAATGGTGTCTTCTGAGATGGCGACCAAGTCTTCGCATTCTCTGGTCAGTATCGATGCGATGGGGGAAATATCGATCGTTTGCTTGTTGGTGTATCTGATGATTTGTTCTCATGTCCGACCCGGAACTAGTGTAACACGAAACATATGATCCATTTTTGTCGACGCTCGTACAAAACGACTTAACAAAACACTCGGAAGCGTTATTTACCGACATGTCTCGCTTTTGCCCACGCACTTATGCCGCTAGTGTTAGTTTTGGCAGCCGACCATGGGCCGCCTTTGGAGACTGCAACGCCGGAAGATGATGTGTTTGTGGTGAGATATTGTGAGCGCAAATGTTGGTTCAAATCAGGATCGCAGGATCAGGAGCACATGGTCTCTCACCACGGAAAAGTAGTGCTTCACAATGGTTACTGTAAGCATTGTCCAATGCAAAGCGCACGAGAAAATTCGAGCTTTCTGTGAAAAGTATCTGTGAAAGATCACATACGGTGCTAAAATAACTAAAAATGCGAATAATGGGTGGGATGACTCCCTCCACATTGCCTGCGCTGATCTGGAGTGACCTCCGGGATTTCGTCAAGGGGATGCACGGGCGCTATGGCCAGAGTCACGGTAAGAAAGGTTCACCGTTGTTAACAGAGGGCCCCTGCTGGTGGACAGCAAATAATCAAATTCCCTACGTCCTCATTAAAAAGGTACGCCATATTTAGCCCACTTTGATTCGAAAGGTAAATTTTGTTCTATTTTGATGTTAACTCAGGGATGGCAAAACTTGGTGCACAGAACTCGGTGCGTGAGGTTGGCAAAACAAATATATAAATTAAACTGACACCTGGTACCAAAAATGTTTTGACTGAAAATTTTGATGACAGCCAGGACCAAATGTTGCAAAGCACGCTACACAACTAAAATTCATCCAAACCCGGGCCAAAAACATCCTAGGACATCCTAGGATCCCCCCAAAAAAGTTTCCGCTAGCACCCAGTGATCAAAAATGTTGTCAACAAGAAGTAGCCTTGGTTGACATCGTTGGCAAGTTAAAGCAGCCTTCGAATTTCATTGTTTCGCTAGATATGAGTTTGGAACATTTTACTACCCGAAAAACGGCTGTTATCAATCTGAGCATCCATCCAATTTGTACGCGTGCCAGTTTTCATGTTTGCCCTCATATGGGTTGGAAAAACGTCCGTTTCAGAAATGGGCCGGTTTTGCAACAGAGTGACCGCGGCCATATTTGTGATCACCTGTATGTTGACAACATTGTTACTGAATGCTTGTTCCACCACTGTGTGTCGCCTGCACCGGCAATCTGCTTTCAAGCGGATAGGCTCTCAGAAACAAAACAGTGGAAACTTGCGGCAAACAAGAATGCTATATGTTTCCAGCAACGCACTAATGTTTTACTATATGCCATTCGACGCGCAAATGCACGGCGAACACCATGGTATAACATAAAACATTAACGCACACATAGTTTGGATGTTGTTTCCAAAAACTCTCTCAAACGGCCCTCGATGTTGATTTTGGACTTTCTGCACAAACTGTTTGCATGTACAGAAACACTTGCCGCTGCACTTCCACACTAAATTGACCATGCACTTTCGTTCAGAACTGACAAAATCGCGTATGGAAAAGCTCCAATTTTTTCGAAAAAATGGCCCCAAAAACATTTCGGCGAGCACCCATTGATCACAAATTTTGTCAACACGTGGAAACATCGGTTTACATCGTTTGCAAGTTCAAGCACCCTTCCATTTTTAATGGTTCGTTAGATATGAGTGTGGAACATTTTACTTCCCGAAAAAAACGGCTGTTTTCAATATAAACATGAACCCAATTTGTACACTTGCTGGATTTCATATTGGCCCTCATGTGGGCATGACAACGTCCATATCTGAATTGGGTCGTTTTTCGCATCAAAGTGGCCGCGGCCAGATTTGTGATCACTTGCATGTTGAGCACAATGACACTGATTGCTTGTTTCAGACTGTGTATCGTCTGCACCGGCAATCAACTTTAAAACAGAGCGGCTCTAGGAAACAAAACCAAGGAAATTGGCGGCCATCAAAAATGCCATATGTTTCCAGCAACGCACTAATGTTTTACTATATGTCATTCGACGCGCAATCGCACGGCGAACACGATGGTATAACTTAAAAAAATAACGCACCTATAGTGGGGAATCAATTCCAAAAAACTCTCAAACGGTACTCGATGATGATTTTGCAATTGCATGCACAGAAACACTTGCCGCTGCACTTACACACTAAATGGACCATGCTCTTTCATTCAGAAATAACAAAATCGCCATTGGAAAAATTCCATCTTTTACTTCCATATATCTATATTTATATTTTATACAAAATTGCTCCCCCCCACATTTTCGGCCCGCACCCGGTGATCGAAAACTTTGTCAACAAGTTGTACCATCGGTTTACATCGTTTGCAAGCCAAAGCAAATTTCGATTTTTCTTAGTTTGCTAGAAATAAGTTTGGAACTTCTTACCACTCGAAAAACGTCTGCTTTCAAACTGAACCTACATCCAATTTGTACGCGTCCTGCATTTCATATTGGCTCTCATATGGGTCGAAAAAACGGCCATTTCTGAAATGGGCCGTTTTTTGCATCAAAGTGGCCGCGTCCAGACTTTTGATTACTTGCATGTTGACAACAATGCCACTGAATGCTTGTTCCACCACCGTGTATCGTTTGCCCCGGCAATCTGCTTTCACACGGAGCGGCTCTCAGAAACAAAACCGTGGAAGATTGCAGCCATCAAGAATGCTATATGTTTCCAGCAACGCACTTATCTTTTACTATATCTCATTCGACGCACAATCGCACGGCGAACAAGATGGTATAACTTAAAACATTAACGCACGTATAGTTTGGAAGCTATGTCCAAAAAATTCTCTCAAACGGCGATCGATGTTGATTTTGCAACTGCTGCACAAACTCTTTGCATGCACAGAAAGATTTGCTACTGCATTTGCAGACTAAATAGACAATGCCCTTGCAATCAGAAATAAAAAATCGCGATTGGAAAATTTTCAGTTTTATTCGAAAAAATGGTGTTTCAAAAATTTTCAGCCACTTCCCGGTGATCCAAAATGTTGTCAACAAGTGGAAACATCGGGTAACATCGATTGCAAGTTAAAGCACGCTTCGGTTTTCATTGGTTCGCTAGAAATGAGTTTGGATAATTTTACTACCCGAAAAACAGCTGTTTTCAATCTGTACATGCATCCAATTTGTACGCGTGCTGGATTTCATATTCGCGCTGATGTAGGTCGAAAAAACGTCCGTTTCTGAAATGGGCCGTTTTTCGCATCAA